GTCAAAGTCTCCAGAAGAACTGCGGCTGCTTCTGCAAGATGCTCAGTAACACTTCCAGCTCATTTCCTTATCAAACTGCACACACTGCACCTGAGACACTGTTTATTTATTTAAAGCGAAGGATCGTCACATTAAATACTGACTCTGTGTCATTTATTACTGTTTACTGCTCTTTATAGGAGTTTTTTAAACTGCAGAAACATTTAATTTCATTATTTTTGAAGGCGTCTTTGCTCTACAGCAAGACTTTTGCACAGTACCGTGTGTGTGTGTGTGTGTGTGTGTGTGTGTGTGTGTGTGTGTAAAGTGGTACATGAAGTGGTTTGACCGGAGCGATCAGTGGGTCAGGACTGAGAGTAGAATGACAATGCGGTGTGTGTTATTTTGTGTGTGTTGTTTTTGTGTGTGTGTGTGTGTGTGTGTGTGTGTGTGTGTGTGTGTTTTTTTTGCCCTGCAGAATCAGTCAGGTTTCATTACAGCTGCGTTCGTGTGCTAAAGAACAGAAGTGACAGACCGGCGCTGATGTAGCCTGAGGAGGATAAAAAACACACACCAGTGTGGATTTACATCCAGAACCTGAACTGAGAAAACCTTTAATAAACCACAGCAGATCCTCCGAGCGTCAGTAGTGAAGGAAAACATCTGTGTATTAAAGAGTTAAAATTACACACGTTCAGATTAACACTTTAACATTCCTGCTTTGCTTTTGGGATTTATAGTAAAACAAACAAATTTTAGAAATTAGAGATTTAAAGGATTCTTTAATACGCCCTCTAGTCACCTTTCAAGCGTGAGATTCTTTTATTCATTTGTTATCATTTATGTCACACATTTCATTTCCCTCTTTCTCTTTTTGCATGAATTTATATTTATTCTTCGTGTTGAATCTCAGTAAATTTATTTATTTATTTATTTTTATTATTTTCTTTATAGGCTTTTGCTAAAGAAGGAGCTCAGGTCATTGCGACGGACGTCAACGGAGAGAAACTGAAAGAACTGGATGGAACTGCAGGTAGTGAAGCGACGCCACCTGGTGACGCTGCAGCCAGGATTTAAACCTTATACTTTACAAAAACATAGTTATTAAAGTTTAGATGTTAATCAAAGATGTAATTTGGGGATCTAAATAGATTTTTACGCATATTGATGCAGATCATTTAATTAATTAATATTTTTCTGTAGTCTGCATTGTGATATATATTTTTTAATAATAAATTGCTTTTAAAAATGAAATATTATCATTTTCATTCATCGTCATCACTCAAAACATCTTCATGCGATTCGTAATACATTTCCATTAGGCATGTTTAAATATTTCTAAGAATTAATACATTTTACATAATTTTTTTATCCCTTTTTACTTTTACTTTCGTAGAGTAAGTCCTTAAAAACAATAATTAATGCATTTTTTTTTATTTTTGCAGTACGACTCTTTTGCTGCGTCATTAATGTCACACTTTTACGTATTTTATTAAATTATACATCAGTTTTCTAAATTAATATTAAAAACCAAAGTATTTAGTATAGTTTTAAAAATGTATAATATTTATGTTTTTGTGTGGTTATGTGTAATAATTATATATAATGCATGATTAATGGTAATATTTATGTATTTTGAGTAAAAAAAATATAAAAAATGTAAAATTAGCTAAACAGATCAGTTAAAAGAAAGATTACTGTGAGCAGATGAATAAAAATAAATCTGAAACTTTAAGAAATTGGTGATAAAGCGGTGATTATTTCACACTCTGAGCCGCTGTAAGATTATACATTAAATAATGAATTTAACAGCAATTTTTATCAATATTGTTAGAAATAAAAGTTTAAATACTGCTTTTGTGCACTGATACATAAATGTTTGAGACATAAATATTATATTTAAAGGATTAATGTTGTATTTTCGTCAGGAATCCGGACGAAGGAGCTGGATGTGATGAAACAGGACCAGGTGGAAGCTCTGGCTAAAGAGCTGGAGCGAGTCGATGTGCTGGTTAACGTCGCGGGGTAACGGCTTTCACTTCTGCTCTGATCTTTATATTCCATATTAATCCTCCAATAATTCTCAAAAACACCCTCAATCTGATCAGCATCGCACACTGAAAACAACAAATACACAAACTAATTCATTAATTAACCTAAAGTCAGTGTGAGGTGTGACTTAATAAATAAATAAATAAATAAATAGCAGTGTGACGTGTGTGTGTGTGTGTGTGTGTGGGGGAAATAATCAGTCAATAAATAAATCAATAAATAAATAAGATTAAGGAAATAAATAAAAGAGAACATTAACACTGTGCGTTGTTGTTATTTATTTGTTTTATTTATTACTGATTCGAAATGTAATATTTCTATTTTTAATTTTCACATTTTTACAATTTTTTTAATTTTTTTATTTCTACTACCTTTAATATTCAGCATGCTTTATTATTATTATTATTATTATTATTATTATTATTATTATTTCGTTATAATACTGACAATCTAATGTAGAGTTATTTTCTTAATAATAATGTTATAATGTATAAATAATAAGTATAATATTTATGCATATCAATAATTTATTGTGAAATAAATCACCTCTGGATTTTTTTTTTCACATTTTTAAAAAAGCACTATTACATGTATTAGAAGTGCTCTATGAGAAGAGATTATTATTATTATTATTATTATTATTATTATTATTATTATTATTATTATCAGCGGTGGTAATTTAGCACTTCACAGCTGTGTTAGTTGTTTATCAGTCTGTTTCTTGGTTTATTCCCCCCCAGGTTTGTTCATCATGGTACGATCCTGGAGTGTGAGGAGTCGGACTGGGACTTTACCATGAACCTGAACGTACGCAGCATGTACCTGATGATCAGAGCCTTCCTGCCCAAGGTCACGCATCTGCACATGAGCAAACTAACCTACCATGAGTAAACTACCTTAAAATACATCCGAGTCAGCTTCACCAGCTGTGATGCATCTGCCACGTTTGTTTTTTTCACTTAAATGAGCTATAAAAAAGAGGTTTTAACTTATAACCTCCAGACTTTATTGAGAGATGAGTCAAATTCCTACAGTACGGAGTTACAGTCATTTAGAAAGAACTGATCTGATGGAGAAAAAGGTGCCAATACTTACAAACGTCCAACTCGGTTGATGGTGGCCATCTTGATATTTTTGTTAGTGTTTTCATCATTCGTTGCTGTATTTCCTCTGTGTTCATGCACGCAGATGTTGGCTCGCAGGTCGGGGAACATCATTAACATGGCGTCTGTGGCCTCAAGTATCAAAGGCATGAATACGGTTTTATTGTTATTTTGCATTTCTCATGATTTCTTGTATTATTTTAAATGTCAGGACTTGATAATTGCTGTTATAAACATGTACGTTTAAGTGTGTGTGTGTGTGTGTGTCTGTGTGTGTGTGTGTAGGTGTAGTGAACAGGTGTGTGTACAGCACGTCTAAAGCGGCAGTCATCGGTCTCACCAAGTCTGTAGCTGCAGATTTCCTCGAGCAGGGGATTCGCTGTAACTGCATCTGCCCCGGTACTCTTTTACACACACACACACACACACACACACACACACACACACACACACACACACACACACACACACACACACAGAGTCTCTGTATCTACAGAAAATACACATTTACCTAGAGTTCACTCAGGATCAGGGCTAATAATAACTGATATATGTTCTACAATATCATTACACTTTTAAGTGCAGAGCATCTGTCTGGGATTTCAGTTCATACTTTTTTGCTTTTTTGTCAGCTCGAGTTCTTCCTCTTGTTTCTCTCTGTAGGAACTGTAGACACTCCGTCACTCAGAGACAGAATCCAGGCCAGACCTGATCCTGAACAGGTACAAAAGTCTGAGGACAAGACAAAAAAAAAAAAAACCTGATTATTGTTTTAGACTTGGAATAATCACCTCATTTTTAAATAAACATATATTTACATTTACATATAAATTTTACTGGAGTTTGAAAGGAGACGATATAATAATCCCAGTAGTCATGTGCTGATCAGTGCCTGGATATTTACTGCAATAAATATTTTAGGAAAAAAAAAACGATAAAATAAAAAATGATGATTGTGTGATGATAAATACGGATGAATATTTTACCTTCTACGGCCTCAGAAGGAAGTTTTTTTTCCTCACACAGCTGATTACTCTGTTCCTCTGAAAACTCAAATAATTTGCTGATTTATTTATTTATTTATTTATTTTTGATTTAATAGCACTGCCAAGCTGCCTCTGAGCACGGCCCTTAACCCTCGACTGCTCAGCTGTATAAATGTAAGATAGTGTAAGTTGCTGGAAAAGGACGTCTGCTGACTGCCGTAAATCTAAACATTGCATAGGAACGTATCAGACTTTCACCTGAATGCTCGATATGGTCAGTGGTTAAGATGTTGGACTATTGATCGGAAGGTTGTGAGTTCAAATCCCAGCACCATGAGCCTCATGAGATAAACGTAAGTCGCTCTGGATCTGCCAAATGCTGGAAATGTAAATGTTATACTACTTCCTGGATCGTCAGGTTTGAGCTCACAGACGCTTTGAAGAATCCAGGATCGGGTCAGAAAATGTACCGATGAGTCTACAGCCCTGCTCACACAGTATTCAGATAAAACCCACTTTCATACAAACAGAAGAGTTACAGTGGAGGATTTAGTTTTGACCTCTTATTCACGTTCCAGCTGCTGCCGCACGTTCACACACATGCTAACACGGGCGCCGAATAAAGAGAGTTTATGGTGATGTGTGCTGTAAGTATCTAAAGTCTTCCTCCTTGTTGTGTTTCAGGCGTTTAAGGACTTCATGGCGAGGCAGAAGATCGGCAGGATGTGCACTGCAGAGGAAGTGGCTCATCTGTGTGTTTATCTCGCCTCCGATGAGGTCAGTTCAGAAAATGAATTATTAACAAGTCTCAACGATGTGCCGGCATTAGCCGAGTTACAACATTTATTAAAATATTTTATTAAAAAAAAATACAAGATACTATACTACGTGTTGTTCATGACTTGTTTCATTGGCCAGCATTTGATTTGTGATTGTGTATCATCATCATCATCATCATCATACAATATGACATCACTTCCTGTGTTGAAAATAATATCATACAGGCATATAAAAATTCAAAGAAATTGTCAAAATTATATTTTTGGAAATTTTTTGTTGAAAATTCAACATTTTCGATGGTTTAATGTTGAACTCTGGTCGGTGTTTTACTTTACCGCTTACCGGCAGCCAATCAGAGCGAAGCTGAGAGCAGAAACGGTTACGATTGGTTAAGAGTAAAAACTGAAAGAGGCGGAGCTTATCGCTTGTTCAGTTATACAGCAGCAGGTGAAATTGACAAAAAAAAAAAAAAGTATAATAATAATGTGTAATTATCACAAAACTGTAACTTGTGAATAATATTTATCACAATAATTTTTTCTAGTGTGTGTGTGTGTGTGTGTGTGTAACATCATGATATATCATCTATACAATTATCATCACGTGCTTACTTGGATTGTTCTGTCATTTTATTTTATTTTTGGCTCCTTTTAATCTACAGTCAGCTCCAGAAATATTGGCACCCCCATGAAACCAAGCATCGTTTTACGCTTAAATGTGTAGAGATGCTGTGTAATTATTTATCAAACTAACAAAATTACTCATGTAGTGTACACTCCTGGGCAAAAAAAAAACGGATCAAGCCCTTGGAAGTGAAATATGAAGCTTTTAATGGCCTTAAGGACAAATCATTGGTGAGATTCCTGAGCCTCCATTCGCTGGTTTCCTTTCGCTGTTTGGGGAAAAGCTATAAACAGAGAAATTCACTTCTATAGACGTCTTGTACACAAAATCATGATAATGGTTAAAAAGTTTGATGTTAAAAACTAACATGTCAAACTAACACGTATCTGGCTGTACAAACTTTTCCAAAAATGCCTTCTGGGATGTTTTTTTCTTTAAAGATTAGTGATTATTTGGTTACGTGCCGCACCTGATGCAGCTCATCAAGGACCACGAGGCTTAAACATTTAAAGAAACTAAAGGGAAAAGCTCCCACACTGAGCTCCTTTATCTATCCGTTTCATTCCTGCTCACTTCCTGACCAGTGATTTGTTCTTAACACCATTAAAAGCTTAATATTTTTTCCTTTTTTTCCTGCAAAGGAGTGTAGATGTTTTGTTCAAAAACTGAGCTCAAAATTATTGGCACCTCCATTGGTAGTACAAAGCCATGTGCTCATGAATGGATTTTTTGTTGTTGGTGGTGTTAATGTAATTATTATAACTATTAAGTAAAATGAGTGTATTGTTTGTGCAGTCGGGGTACGTGACCGGAGCTGAACACATCATCGATGGAGGATGGAGTCTGTGATTATTTCACAGTGTGATGGAGCTGCTGTGAAATTTACTGCATTATGAAGGGGAAAAAAATTATATGTTCCTGTCATTTCCTGGCATGATTTAAAACATATCACGTCATACTGTTTTAGATTAGATTAAATCATTAATCAAATAAAAGACACAGAGGATAAAGCATTATTGATTATGGTTCAATCTTGAGATTAATTTATTACTTTTTTTGTTTACACCCATTCATTTTTGAATGAAAGGGTGCCAATAATTATTCTTTCTCACTCAAAATGTCTCCTAATCCTAATGTGATGAGCCCTAATCTGATGTATTGATGTTATTTCTAATAAATTTTAAAGATTTAAATGTTACTGTTGTTCTTTTTTTCTTTTATCACGATCAATAATGTCACTATTAAACTCCGTGTTGTTTACAGTCGGCCACCATTTTAGCTTATCCGCTACCCGGCTGTTCTTGTGTTTGGTTCAATCCCAAGCGGCTCCCTATGGGCTGTGTAGTGCACTGAGTAGGGTGTAACCGCTATGATGCCGCAGCCTACGTAGTGCACTCTGAGAGAGAGTGAGGAAGTGTTTGGGATCGAGCCGGAGATTTCGGCACTACAGCGGCTTTCTTCAGCATCCACACTAGTAGAAGAGGAAGCACGAGTTCGCTATGAAGTGAGTAACCATGACAACCGGTTTACATTTGAACACCTATTACGCTAGCTAGCTAAAACGGAAATGTACTGAGTGATTTTATCCGCCATCTTGTTGTTGTTTTTTTTGGTTTTAATGAGTTTAATCTGGTCAGTTTGGATGCTTTCACTGCAATGTAAAAATAAAAATAACACTGTTAACGTTCGTAAAGCACAAAATATCACTTTTATCAACTAAAATGGCTCCATGTTCACTATATAAGTGCACTAATTAGGGTAGAAATAAACACACACACTAGAGGCTGGTGCATTATGGGTCGTGTGGATTCGGCTACCTTAAATTTATACTTTATTTTGATGTAATTTTATATTATTTACATTTTTTTTTTTACAGTAAATACATTAGTATCTTAATCCTTTAGTCCATGTGGTGCTAATGTAGCATATGGGGAGTGAATTAGTGTGTAGTCTGGTTAAAACCGGATTAACTTCAATTTAATCTGCTGTTACCTCAATTTACGCCTCAGTTCACATCACAACCATAAAAGTGTTAATTCAGTCCTCGCTTTCATCTAAATATTATTTTTGTATCCCGAAAAACCTGAGATTTATTCATAATTTATTCTAAATACCTTGTATCGAACAAAGCACGATATGCAAGAAAAAGAATACACACATTACGGACCATAATGGGGTTAAAATCGTACTTTTTATATAAGGAATAAAAATTATTCCTCTCATACCACAGCAATTCACCAACCATTACAATTTTTCACAAATTAAACAATCAGGTCAGTTTAAAGATGCGGAACGTCCACGATACAAGCCACTTCCTGTTGTCACTTACGTTATAGCAGCTATCAGTTTTGAACAGGATGATCGGCGTAAATTATTATTTTGTCTTCAGGGAAGCGTGTAAATACCTTTTGTAGCTTCTGAAGGGAGTACTAAATAAAAAAATATATATATCTTTAAATAAAATAATAACAATTTACACCGATCATCCTGTTCAAAAGTTTACACCCCCAGACTCTTGAGCATCAGTGAATGTTTGCAGCTTTTGTAATAGTCGTGTTCAAGTCCCTCAGCTGTCCTCAGTGTGAAAAGATGGATCTCAGCATCATATAGCTGTTGTTGGAAAGGGTACAAATATGCAGAAGATGCTGGAAAAGCTGAGAATGTGCAGGATCTGGAGGATTTTTCTGAAGAAGAGTAGGCAGTTTAACTCAGGACAAACAAGAGACTCATGAACAACTATCACAAAACATAAAAACAGTCGCTGATCCTCAGGTAACACACAGGATTAAGAATCAAAAGTACGGAAACTTTTGAACTGGTTCATTTGTGTAAATTCAGTTATTAGTGTGTCTTGTGGACTGGATGTAAACATCTGTTATGTGAAATAGCTTATTCAGGGCTGAACTAAATAAACAAAATGCAATTTTTATCATCTGTCTTATTTTTTAAAAAATTACTAACGTTTTGCAGAATCTGGAAGGCGTATGTAAGCAGTCGTTCCCTCACCAGCCTCTTTTTCTCTCTTTTAGAAGTTAACAAGACAAAAACACGCAGTTTTCATGTTAGCGAGAAACCTCAAAGAAGCGTAAACTCCTCTGTCCTGAAGACGTCTGAAAACTTAGTTACAGCTTTACCCCTGACTGTCACAAAGCGCTGACACTGGAGACTCCTTCCTTCAACGTTACATAAACGTCATCCTAAGAAAACGTTAAGAAAACTTCACCATATCAGGGATTTATATGGTGCGTCCATCGTACACGTCCCTGTGAATGAGCTGTTACTATAGAAACAAGCGCATTAATATAAACCTGCACTATTGTCAGAGCTGCTGTTATAGAAAACTAATCAACACCTTCTGAAGAAGCAGAATTCAGCATGCTCTACTGTGTACCATGAAAGTTTAGCAATGTAATATTTTATCCATATCACCCAGTATTGTGTAACAGAGGTGCAGCTTAAACACCTGAGTTTATCCTCTCAGGTGTCTGATAGGCTGCCTGTAGCTCCGCCCAGTTAGTGGGCGGGACGTGGTGGGTGAACTTCCTCGCTGGTCAGTGTGCTACGTCAGAGATGAAGTGATCTCTCTGTATCATGGATCATGCTGAGTCTCGACCCGATTCGTCCCACTCGGTGGAGGAAGAAGCTCCTGTGGTGGGAAACCATGCTGAGGTACGGCACGGGTTAAAAATTAATTTTAAACAATACTTTACATGTATCTTGCATTATTATTATTATTATTATTATTATTATTATTATTATTATTATTATTGACATATAATATAAACATGACATTCTTTATTTACATACTGTACTTAATTATTCATTCGTATTCAGTTTAAAACTAATTTAGTTTTTGTTTTACTCTCTTATTAAATATACGATTTTAATTATTAAAACGTGTAATATTGTAATATCATTTTAATGTATATAGAG